TACTGTTAATATTATTATTACTGGTAGTAGATGGTAGTAATTTGTTGTTTTTGTTGTCATTGTTGTATTACTATTCATTTATGCATTTCATCTATCTTTTATCACTTTACTTTATACTTTTGTCCTATTTTGCTAATCTAAATGTTGACTTATCCTGTCTCTGGTGTTTCCTCACTGCATTTATTTGTTTATTTATTTATTTATACTGAAGTTTCTTTGTCTCTGTTTTTATTGAGTCTTTTATTCATAACATAATGTCTACGGGGGATTGACGTGGGAGTGGGAGGATACTGTTTTTTATGTTTTTTAATCCTTTTGTTCTGTAAAAGTACTGTACAAATAAAGTGTAACTGACTTGACTTGAACTCTTGTGTCGTGCACTATATCTTAAAATGTTAAATATATCAACTGTATTTATGTCATGTTCTGAAGGCTTGTTCTCTGTAAAACAAAAAGTTCAATAAATATACATTGACAAAAATATATATATATATCAACTGTATGCTTTAAGAGGTTTACACACAAAGAATGTAATTTAATGAAAGGTTTGTTTTGTTTTATTTATGAGAAGCAAGTGCTTTTATAGCATTTAGTTACTCTCACTTAAAGGTAACTGTCCTTTGCTTGTTTTTCCAAAACAACTGATATTGACAGTTCAAGCAGTGATAATTGTACTGATGTTTTCGTGGGTCTTTATCTTGTATGTTGCACTGATCTACCAGCTGCTCTTTGACACAGTGGTTTATCTGTCATGTGCGAGGCTCATTTACATTTAGACTTTAGTATGATGTACAGAGGGATTCATGCTGTTGGAGCGAGGGTGGAGCTTGTGTTCAAACCAGCTGGAACAAACAATGACTCTACTGCAGCTACATAAATAGAAATAGTTTATCTGGTGAACTACTTGAACAAAAACGTATGCTGCTTATTAAAAATAAAGTTTTCTCTTATTGGGTTTGTCCTAAACACACAGAATATGGCTGTAAATGATGACGTCCAGACTTTACATGTAAAGAACATGAAGCCACTGGCTATAGTGCTTATCTGCCACGGTCATCTTGTGGTTGCCATGCAGACCTATCAGTAGAGTACATATGTTTTATGGGGCCTTATCAGCACAGAAAGAGGTACATCAAGTCTTCTGTCCTTGTGGTGCAGCAAACAGCAAAGACCAGCAAGACGGCTTGCTTCCATGTGTAATAATGTAAAACGATCAAACCTCACTACTTCCTTTCAAAATCAAAAGTTAATGCAGCACATCCATTCAATTATAAACCCAAAAGTGAAGCATCCAACACTGCCAGCCTACAGCAAAGGCAAAGTTCTGTTTTGATAGTGACAGGTTTTGCATTAACGCTGTGTGGCATCATCCAGTCACTGTTTAACTCTGAAGACACAGGAGTTAACTTTCTCTTCTGTGCAAAAGCAACAGAGCATTTCTACAGTGCATGCAAGAGATGAAGACTTTCTTGGTTTGAGATTTGCACATGTTCACGATTTCAGAGTGTGTTATACATATCTTTGTATTTACACATAAAATTCTGAATATATGCTGCCACTGCCAACTGACAATAGTAGATATTTAGAACATGCATATAATAACTTTTAAAAAAAACTATTTAAAAAAAATGTACATTGCTTCCTTAAGTTTGCAGCTGAAAATTGGGAAAGTTACTACAATGTTTAGAAATATTTCCAAAAAATAGAAAGTGTTCCATAGACAAAGGTAAAACGCCATTAAAGTCCTTGTAAAATATATGTTTTTGGAAACGCACTAAACTGGTATGCGCACTGACAGCGCACACTTGACAACCTTGGCCAATTGCGGTAGTCTCGTGATCACCGAGCGGCTGATCTGATTGGCCACCGCTCTGAAGCTCGCAATCTGATTGGCCGCTGGCTGTGGTTGCGCTGGATGTTAAAATCACACGCAGGTCATTGGTCTGTTTCACATGTCTGCTGATGTGCCGGTGTAGGGTGTTTGATGGTTTCGTAACACAACATTGTTTAGCGTGTGGACTTGTCTATATGTTATCTCTCTCTGCGGTGTCACTAACAGCTTTCTGAGCGCTGCTGTTCAAACAGGGCGGGCGCTTTTCTTGCTGTAGCTAACTGAGCGTTGCATCCGTAGCTGGCTAACAGAAGCTAACGGCGGCTAGCTGCTGCTGAGTCGATACATCGTATTAGCACCTAGCGTCAGAATGGGTGAGGAAATTAACGACAACCTCGTCAACACGGGCAGCGGGACCGCCAACGACACCGGCAATGAGGGCAACGGCGACAAAGTGGACGCCGGCGTAAAGTATTACACGTTAGAGGAGATTAGAGTACATAATATGAGTAATGACACATGGCTCATCATCCACGACAAAGTATACGACATCACGGGTTTCCTTGAAGAGGTAAGAAACTCTTTCTGTCTGCTAGCAGCAACTACTCTTAATTAATTTTATGAATTTACGCGTTAAGTCTTTGATTATGTCACATTGGCTCCGGCTACTTCCTGGACGTACGCGGCGGTTGCTGGGAATGTTACGTATTGACGTGTTCGGTTCACCGACGGAGCAGAGACCCCCGTTCAACACCTGAACGTGTAAAGTAAACCCGAGTTACCTCAGGGTTACACAGGGTTATGTGAGGAAACTCAAATAAACTTCACCTGATGTTAACGATTAGCTAACGTTAGCTAACAATCTAAGCAAGTCGCTGGTCTGTGTCTTCATAGCATCGGCACGTTTGCATCACATTAGCCTGAACTGCAACGTTAATGTCAATTCACAGCAATAGTTGTCGGAACATCCTGTAAGTTGGGTTCAATGTAAACGTGTACAAGTCTTATAATAGTAAATCTGGGACCTCTGTAACACCAATTTACTTCCATCAGAAACACCAGCCCCCCATGACCCCAGTGAGGATTAAGCGGTGTGTAGATAATGAGAAACACCAGCGTTTGGATTCACGTACTTTAATTTCTAAAATTAGTTTTGCAAATAATTTCTAGTTCTCACATGTCAAGAAGAAGTTATGTGTTCAGAAAAGTTTTTTTTAAAAGACAAATTATAAATTGTTGCTGGTGTCAAATATGTCAAAATAACTTAAAATGATAAACAACCGTCATATCACACTATTATATGAACTACTGCTGTGTCCCTCTTACAGCATGTATTTAATTTTCTTTAGGGATAAGCAGCACCTAGAATCCCAAAAATTATTACACTTCTATTCACCTATTTTTTTTCTATTTATTTTTGCTATTTTTTGCACCACTGTACATATATTTTTTTCTGCTAGATGTGGAAATTCTTGTATATATTTATTTTATTATTATTACTTATTTTATCTTATTTTTTTTCTTTCTATAGTTATTTCACTTTATTGTTATCCTTTTCCTCGCTCATTCCTGGGGCGACACCAACAGACAGAACCAGATTCCTTGGATGTTGTGTCCATACTGGGCCATTATAGCTGATTCTGATTCTGATCACTCACTACTTTACATACAGTACATGCATGGTTCTTTTCTGATAGTTTATACCATAAAGCTGAGACGTTTTTAAGCATCTATTAGATCCTATACATAGCAGGGAGCCCTTAACATATTTGGCTATATTATTAGTTATTACATAGAAAAAAGCTACTTTTCTCACTCCTTTTATTTACATGGCGCTCATGATGTATAATAGTAGTAATAGCATAAACAGGTGTTGTTCTGTGCTGATGTTCAAGTTTACCTGGAATTTCAAAGACAGGTATAATTTATTTTTTTAAACTAACTTAATCGAGCACACTAAACCTGTAGGGTATTGTGAGTGTGTGAGGGACACAAAGTTAACTAACTCCTGTTCATTCTGTGATTCCAGCATCCGGGAGGTGAGGAGGTTTTGCTGGAGCAGGCGGGTTCCGACGCCTCCGAGAGCTTTGAGGATGTGGGTCACTCCACAGACGCCAGGGAGATGCTGCAGCAGTACTTCATCGGGGAGCTTCACATGGTGAGAAGAAGAAAAAAAAGCTTGGCTTCCTGCCTGTAGTGTCTCTCCATTATGTCTCCAGTTAAACTTCTAACAAATCATTGTCGACGCTTAAACCTAGACTAATCTGGTCCAATGAGTAATTCTGGTCACAAGATTTCCTTGAAGGAAAAGGAGCCATTTGTCATTTTTGCTGGTTGCTTGGAGGTCACAAGATGTCCCTGCAACAATTTGAGTTTTATGCTTATTAATAACTTCAGGCACGTGACAGATTTGGTTTGTTGCACCTTTAGACACAATCAGATGAGCAGTAGTTCTGGATCCAGAGATGTTTTGTTTAACTCAACCAGTCGGGGCATAGTTTATTTTCAAATGTCTCTCCTACACGGCATTCTCTCTAACGTTCACTTTTTGTTATGTTCAGAAATAATATGGAAACACTGAGGGATTGTCCTGCAGCTAATCGTAGCAAAAGCAGCGCTGTCATTGGAGATCCTGCCGTTAGGACAGTGAGCATAGACAGTAAATACAGCCTGTGTGTGTAAGAGTGACTGGTCAGGACAAAAAGCCTCGTATGACTCAAACAGCCACATGAAAGAGTGAGAGGATGAGACAAAAAATAAACTTTTCTACCCAAAAGAAAAATGAACTGAAGTCCATCAGTGAATCTACTGAGCACCCTTGAAGTGCGTTTAATGTTTTTTAAGGAATGGAATAGTTACCAGAACAATATATATCTTTAAAATAGTATATTATTGTGTATAAGTAGTGATTTTTTTTTTAGTAGCATAATTGTAGCGACTTCATGAAAACAAACTAACAAACAAACTTTTCTCCAACATTTATCAATATTAAGTTTTACCAGACGAGGAAAGCAACACTAATTATTTTTCATTACCTTGCAGGATGACAGAAAACAGGAGACGTCGAAGGTAAGTTCAGTCGATGTTGAGATCATACAAAACGTTTTGCTTTCCTACGGCATCCCTTTTGACTTTGCATCATTTTGTTCTCACCACAGGAGGTAGAAGTCTCAAATTCAGGCGAATCCAGGTGAGTCACTGTCATGAATGTGTCTTTGTTCGTTGTACCGCTCGCACATGGTGTCAGTCAAAACCTAAAAGCAAACATCAGTCACTGCACTTACTTGTAAACAAAGTCTTCTTGCAGTTTTGACAGCTACAAAGAAATACAGAATTAAAAACATTTCTAAATGCAATAAATGATTTTTTTTGCAGCAGCTCCTGGACCATGTGGTTGATACCTGCAGTGGCGGCGGCCGTCATCGGCGTCATGTATCGCTTCTACATGCTGGAGCACAAGTCCTCCTGAGTGCTGGTGTTCCTGTTTTCATGTCATTCTTTTTATATGGAGGCCTTGAAATGTTTGACCAAAACCTCCTCTCTCTCTCTGAACGCACACAATTAAGGAGTTGTCAGCATTCTGTGCAACAGAAAGAGGAAGGCAGCAGTTTGATAAAGTCCTCATCAGAGTGCACCGAATAGACAGAGCTGGGCGGTGACTTTATTAAACCGTCTGCCTTCACTTTCTTTATGTTTCATTGTCACTATGCCTGTTGTCATTGTTGTTAAGTGTTTAACTTAAGTTTTCATATGCATTTGTCGCCTCTTGGTTTTCATACATCATCACGTAAACAGATGAAAGGGAGATGCTAGGTCAGCAGCTATCGTCCGACTTTTTATACACGACTTCCGTAAACTCTGGTGCGTTTTCTTGGGATTTTATCGAAGTACGAAATGTTACCACAGAACTCTGAATACAAATCTTGGGATTATTTCACTCACTGCTCTCGCTAAACGATGCCTGATTTCATTTATCACTTGGTTGCAAACACGTCATCTTTCCAATTATGTAAATGTGGTGTCAAATCTTTTGTGTTTGTTCCTATTTGAAAATTGTGGTTTATTATGTTGTATCTGATTATTTAAGACAGAATGTGCTCTGACTTGTCCCCTCTTTTTTTTCAGAAATCAGTGTAAATGTTCAAAGCAGCTGATAAATGTTTGGGGTTTGTACCGATGCAGAACAACTTTATCATGACGACTGAATACCCTTGAAAGAGAAAGTACTTGTTGTTTGAGCGTTCTGTTTCTAATTTTTTTTCTCTATGCCATTTGTTATTTAACTTGATGCTTTTTTCACAACTTTTTGTTTCGTCGTAATGCATCTTAATTTTTGGGTGAGTGATGCAGGCGGCTGTCACTGGAGGGTTCGAATTGTATTTAACGACGTCTGCTGTGTGTTTGTTGTTGGGCCGCTGGTGGTTAATTGGGAGACTTTGCAGATGGTTTCCATCAGTCCACTTCTTTAATGATTATTTTATGTACTAAATCTTTTCTCTAGGTTGTCAATTTGGCCTGCTTAGAAATGTTTTGGTTTAGGTAGCATTTGTAAAATTACTAAATTTATTAAACATTCTGAAATATGCATTTAACTTCACGTGTCTATGGGGGAAAAAAAGCATTTTCCAAAAAGACTATTTTAAGTCCATTTATTACCAACATGTCCGTTCATAGAAGTTTCTGAATAGAACTTGCTGCTATTTTTACACGTGACTACGATGTTACTCGCAGATTTAGTTGGTTGACTTCAAAGATAAACATTTGCCATGTCTTTGCATTTCAACTGCCATTTCCTGTCATTAAAAGTCTCTTTGAATAAAATGAATCTTGAGGTGCAAGTGGGTAATTATTCATGCATGTGAATGAGTTATGCAAGTATGGTATGCTGTTGTATGTAAGTGACAAAGATTACCCGTCTGAACAGAGCATTTGTTTAGTTGACTGTTGTTCCAGAAATTGTAGTGAAAAAAAAAAGAACTGTGTCAGAGGGAAATACTGCAGCTGGGCTTATGCAGGTAAATAACAAAAATTGCCAGACAAAAACAATTCAATTAGAAGCTATGTCATACATCCTTAATTCAAGTGCTTGAATGACAACTTTGAAAAATTTGGAAATGAATAATTCCTTCCTTCAAAAATATTTCTTCCAAATATATTTCACATACAGAGTACAGAGTAGTGAGAGTGC